TTATCTTGTTTATGGTTTACATTCGAATTACGAATAACTTTAGTCACAGCTTAGCTCATGCAAATCCCTTGCACAAATACTTTCACACATATATCCAGTTATAAATGAACACACAAAAAACTAGAAGCCCGGCAACGACAAGAACTTTTGTGCTGATAACGTGCAACGGCAGCAGGAAATGTCCGGCTCAACCTCCAGTGTGAAAGAGGAAGACGAACAGCAACAGCAACAGCAACAGCAACTGGAGCAGCAGCGACAAAGGAGAGAAGTGCAGTGAATCAGGCCTGGGGTAAGGCCTCTTCAATGCCGCAAAACCTGGGGTGCGACACAAAAACCTTGTCGAACGATAAAGTTGCCTTTGCCGTCTGCCGTCAGCCGTCTGCTGCGCCATAACTCGGTTGCATAAATCTTGAATGGGGCTTTTTCGGTTAGGCGACTGCAGCCCTAGGTGACATCTTTGGTGACGTTCAACTGGCGACTGGCGACTGGCGACTGAAGCAAAACCACGTCCAGATACCAGACAGCTAGCCTGCAGCACTGCATAATAAATTGCAGCCATGGCGTTATAAATATTCCAGCTGCCCACACGCAGCTGCTCGCCCAGCCACGACCCGCCCCAGCCCCTATTTGGTCGACCCTTGGTCAGTGAGTGACGCAGCGCGCTGGCGTCTGTTGATAAGCATCTGGGCAACAATTTCGCACATGACCAATGCATGAAGATTACAACTGCTAACTGAAATGCTGACACAGATAAAAAACGGACGAGTGCCGAGCTGAAAATAAAAAGTAAAATGTGTCTGAGAATTTGAATTAAGTAGTCGCAGCTGAACTGCTCTGAAGAAGTCAAATAGTGACACACCCTGTGATAAATTACGCAGTAATTCGAATTCGAATTCTATTCTAATGATGACAATGACAATGACAATGACAATGACAATGACAATGACAATGACAATGACAAAGACAAAGACAATGACAATGACAATGGCAATGACAATGACAATGACAATGACAATGACAATGACAATGACAATGACAATGACAATGACAATGACAATGACAATGACAATGACAATGACAGTGACAATGACAATGACAATGACAATGACAATGACAATGACAATGACAATGACAATGACAATGGCATTACCTACATCATCTCTATAAACTTCCTGGGGCTAAGCTTCTGTTCTCATCTGCAATATTTTCAGAAACTTTTGTATTTTTTATTCCCTGACAATTCTCCTCTCCTGCTGCACATTCTGCATTGGGCATTCTTTCAGGTAGCCAACGCCAAAAAGTGTTAAATGGAAAACAATAATAACACTATGAGAAATGGTCGGTGGGTGGAGTAGAGAGGGATGGGCACCCTATGGACAAGCCCATTAAATTGTAACTGGTTGGCGCTGGAGCCGCGGCTCAGTGGGCAAAATATGCGGCAAGGACAATAAATTAATGCGATTTATTGCGGCGATAAGCGCCGAATGAAACTGTAAACGGATATGGCCTCAGGGGAGGGCGCTGGGCGGGGTGGGTTTCGAGAGGGTGGTCGGCAGTTGTGTCTTCATGTGTGGGCTTGCCCACAGATAAGAGTCGCTTGGGTGGCATGCAAAAATGTTGTGCGTGCCTTCCATCAAGTGACTTGAAATTAACGACGCCACGCCCCTTGCCAGACCTGCCAGACCCCTGCCCCACATGCTAAGCAGCACTCATCGTACTTCACATTTAATTAGGGCTCAATGCGCATTAAGAAAATGCCCCAAAAGTACCCCGAGGCACGGTCCTTCAGTCTGTTGCGCACCCCCCTGCCCCACCATCAGGCTGTGCATCCACATCAAAATGCCATTTTAATTAAAACGGAAAAATTGAAGAAAAGTTCGTCAAATGATGTGTGAGAAGTCGATAGAGCAGCGGGCGCTAAATCACAAAGCCAAACAGGATAAACAGCAGCAGGCATGACAAGGGTTAAGGGGGTGTTTGAATTTGAAAAAAAAATGAAAAAAAAAAAAAAAACGTGAAAGGAAATGCAAAAATCCGCGCAATCGTGCAAACGCTTTTCCAAGCACTGTGAAAATCTTGTGAAAATTTGTTGAGCGTGCAAACTGCTGGTGGTTGGTTTTTGGTTTGGGTTTTGGCAGCTCACCCTCCACTCCGGCACTCTGGGTGTCTGCTGCCCGGCAATAATTGCACGAAATGCCCAAAATTTGTGCTGAGTGCCGCACAAAACGGTTTTCCAAGCTGGAGTGTGGGGGATAAATAAGGACTGGAAGCTGGTCTGGCCAGACGCTAAGCCGGGGCATCGCTGTTGCTGCTGTCGCTTTGGCCAGCCACTAAATCACAACCAAAAGCCGCTGTTAAAACATGAGCCAGCCCCGTAATGGGTGGTTGAGAAACGATGGCACTAAAGCCAGCACAGCACCAGCAGAAGCCGAAGCAGCAGCAGCAGCAGCAGCAGCAGCAGGAGTCGGATTGGCTTGGTGGTTGCCAAAGGGCTGCTGGTTGCAGCCGCAGCAGCAGGACACGTGCAGCACACATAGCCCAGAGCTATGGCAACTGATACGGATAGAGAGAGATTTCATTAGGGGATCGCAGCAAGTAGCGCAGAGTGCTCGTTAGCCGGGGCCGATGCTCATTCATTATTTAATCTTAATCTGAATCTATGAAACTCAATCGATATGCGCAGCTGATACAATAAACATGCACAAATAGCCGGAAAATCCGATTGATGGGTTTTTAAGGGAGATTTTCATACAATTTCAAGGAAGATTTTCATAATAAAGGCGTTAGTTTTCTCATAACTCAAAAATATTGTCAATTTTATTAACGATTTTTAATCAATTTATATGTCAAGAGAAGTTTAAATTTTGATTTATTTTTTTGTTTAATAAAATTATTTAAAAAATTTAAAATGCTGACTAA